TCTATTTTATCAGATGGTTTAAGTGGATGAAACCATACATATACTTCTATGCTAATTTTACATTTTGCTAATTTACCGAGTGTATCTGTTAGTTTAGATAGGTTGCAATGTACTGTTTATGGTTTTTTAAATATAAGATTGTGTGAACCACAAACAGCAGCTTTTTACTTATTTTTCAATTTCAATGGCTTCTTTTATTTCTTTGACTAGTTCTTTTGCCACATATTTCCAGTGCTAGAATAAAATAGAAGCATCGACAATGGGCACAATGTAGTTTTGTATTGGTGTCTGAATTTGATGAAGCAAACACCTCTTCAAGTTTTCATAAACTGATTTTAGAAGGTAAAGATCTTCTTTTGTTGGGTCCTTAGGGTGATGAGATGCCCTCTGAGTTTGTAGTGAAGAGGGATTGTAGTTTGGTCACAAGGCTGCCGGGTCTGCACTAGGGTCCACCTTTAGTTGGCTTGTTACAGGGGCTTGGGTGGTTGTAATTTCCATTTTATTTTTGGACAGACTGAATATCCTTCAGGACTTTGCTCTGTAGGGCAGACATTAGGGCAGGTTTTTGCTGTTGGTTCTTCATATAGTGGGCCTTATGAGTGTGGCTTTCACTGAGTACCAGAGAGCATTTTCTCAGGTAACTGTGTGGATTCTCTATAGGCAGAACTGACCATAAACTGGTTTAGGTAACTGAAACTGAGTCACTGAGCCGCTTCAGAAACCAGAGTAAAGGCCAATGTCTGCGGGTCTGCCTATGTGGCTGTAAATGGGTGCCTTCCTCCAGGTCTCTGGAATGGCAGGACCTCTCCCAGACTGTGACTGGGAGGAGTTTGGGATAGTTACAGAGTAAGTTCACAATTCTCAGTGGGACCAAGTTGGGTGAACCCTATCCTGGTCTGTAGACAAGAACAGGGACCCTGCACTTTCCCACCTGAATAAGGGCCTGCCTTCTCAATAGAACACTTCTCAATCTTCAGCTTTAACAGCATTTCACAACTCCCTCCATGGATCTCAAATCTCTCTTACAGGTACTTATTTTGGAGATGCGGTCTTGCTACATAACCCAGGTTGGTCTCAAAATCCTGGCCTGAAGCAGTTTTCCAACCTTAACGTACAATGGTGCTGTTATTACAGGTGTGAGCCATAATGCCTGGTTCTCTCATAAAGGCATTTTTGTCAGGGTTGGCTGACTTTTTTTGCTGTAAGGGGATATGAATGTAGGGGACTTTTAATCTTTTCATCTTACCAATGTCACTCTCCCTATACATTTTTACTTTCTGTTTTCTATTTCAAATTTGTCTGTTAATTTTAGACTCAGATATTTAGGACAATATGCTAGAATTTGCATGGTATGCCTGAAGTAAATTAGATAATTAGTAGACACTCTATATTTACTAAAATATTTACTTATAAATTTAAGTTTGCTGCAGGCAATAAGGAATTATAAGATTTTTATCTACTTTCTTTAGCCTGTATCTAAATAATAACATAGTTTATTTCCTAATATATGTTTTACATGTCAGAGGGTCTAACCCTATTCTGCGCTACATATATATATATATATATTCTATGTTTAACAATGTAAGGCTATTCTTTGCTTCTAAAGTTAGATTTCAGCTGCTTCATTTTGTGTAAGAATTACATATATTTAAAATGTAGAAGGTAACTCTAGTCTTCTTAAATGCTTATTTATTAAAAGTTTCTCATTAGAATCTTCTATTTATAATTATACTGCATATTATCTGAAATTTTATTGCCACACAGTGCATGCCAATAATTAAAAATATCTGC